CCAGAGTAAATAGCATCATGCCATTACCTATAATCCAAAATAGAACAAACAGATAGTAAGGCATGGTGTCACTAAATTATGTGAGAGATGAGGTCCAATCTATATATAGAACAGGCTGTTCGAATTTTATATGGCTTACTTCTGTAACAGCAATTCAATTAATACTAAACTGATTTCATTAAACCATATGGACTTGCATCTGCCTACTTAGTTTTAAGATGGGTTGCCTTTGCCTTATTTAGCTTTGAAGGCACCTTTTAAGCTGAAAATTATTGACTTAAGCCAACAAAGTTAATAATTGATAGTTAACTATAAGCTAGTCTAGCTGACAATCCCAGAGAAGGTTAACAGTCCCACCGGAGAAGCCACTATGAGTGATAAGAGTGAAATGTAAGACACAGCAATTTGTATTATTTATTCCTTTACCTACCAGAAAGAAGTTCCACATTCCAACTCCAGCTTTAAGAATAAGAATAAAATTTTACCGCCCCCCCAAAAAAAAAGAGAATAATAATAATAATGAGTTTTTCGAATATATGCTTTTATGGTATAAGTTAAGAGTACCTTTTGTCATAAATGCACATAAAAAAATTTAAAAATTGACATTAATTTTAGTGTTAGTGTTAATGTTAAGTGAATAAATTTAATTAGGTAATTGTAAATTAAACGTTAAGTTTTATTTTTCAATATAAATTTATGATGAAAAAATATATTTAATACACTCTTAACTTCTGTACTTAGAACACAAGTTAAACAAACTGAGCTTGGCATTATTGAAACTGTTGACTTTTGAGCTTCTCCTCAATCTAATAGCATCACTTCCAATTTCTCAAGCAAGCAAAGTATGATGGGAAGAAGAAAGTAAAAACAGAATAAAATTTAAAATTAGAATCTCCAATATCTTACTTGTAAGCTTCATCTACCCTTGCTTGAGCATCCATGTAACTTGGGAAGTCATGACCAACAAGAAAATAATCACCACGACCATAACCAGAGTTCCCCTCCAGAGACTCAAGCAGTGGATTGTAATCATAAGTTCCAAAGACTCCACTTCTTATGTATGCCTTAGCCTCTTCAAACCGGCGATCAGGTTTGAACTGTTTGAGTTGGAAAAGGAGGGAAATCAGACTAGTAAAAGAAAGAACTGAATGAAACCAATAAACCCAAATATGAATAGGCATGCATTAGGAAGGCCAGACAGATCAACTTTGTGAAAAAAAAGAAAAAATCATTATTTGAGACAATTAGTGAAAGCTAGTTAACAGTGTTTCAATATGAAAATTGAAGGGAGCAGTTGCAACTCATGAAAAACATTTATTGGAATCCTGTCCAATGCATACTGATTTCCAAATAATGTACTTACCATCAGTGACCAGTGATATGTTCAATGATTTCGTATGTATGTGCTGGCATGCACACATGCAAAGGCGTATCAACTATCAAACATTATGCTACTTAGTAGTTCTGTGTGATTCCGAGTGAGAGATATTAGGCTACTTACCAATCCATTTTCTCTTTCTTTGCGCAACCCAGGGACTTCATCTGCTTTTGCACCAAAGAGAAAGAAATTCTCCTCTCCTATTTCCTCTCTGATTTCCACATTAGCCCCATCCAGTGTTCCTATTATAAGGCAACCATTAAG